GCCATTCAGACCACAATGCCTCAGCCAACCCTCTACTAAAGTTACCCATCCAATTTTCCCACATCTTGTCTTCGCCCTCCAAATCTTTTCTTGTCAGGTTCTTATTCAACTTCCTTTGAAAAGACATGAGTAAAACTGCCTCCACCACAATCTCTGGCAATGCATTCCAGATCCTAGCCATTCAATGCACAAAATTGTTTTCCTCATCTCATCACTGTGTCTTTTGCCTTAATTAACCTTACATTGATCTCCTCTAATACTTGACCCCTCTGCTAATAAGAACAATTTCTCTCTCTATTAGGTTCCTCATGATTTTGAACCTACCTAATGAAATCTCCTCTCCCTCTTCTCCTCTCCAAGGAGAACAGCTCCAACTTCTGCAATTTATCCACAGAACAAAAATCACTCAACATTGAAGCTATTATCATAATTGTTTTCTATACCCTACCACCACCGCCCCCTGCCCCCTCCCCAAATAAAAAGCTTTCACATGCTCAATAAAAAGTCATGGCTCAAATTATAAGCAAGATTGCATTGAGGGAAAACCAGCATTATAATAATCACCATAGCCTCCTTGCATTTGTACCCTATGTCTCTCTTTTAAAACCCAAGATCCTATCTAACTTTTCACCTACTCTTCTAACCTACCCTGTAACCTTCCATGATATGTACAGGTCTATCTGATACTGCATCCCCTTTAGAATTGTGTCCTTTATTTTGTCTTGCATGTGATCATTTTTATGAAAATGTAAGACTTCACACTTCATTGCTCTAAATTTCATGCTCTGCAGAGTTACCTATACCACCAGTCTAATGTATTTTCTTTTGAAATTTCACTATTTGCAATTTGAGACATTTGCATTTTTTTTTCATCTGCAAATTATGAAAGGGGGTTCCTATACTCCTAAGTCTAATCATTAAGATAGATATAGAAAATAATAGTTCAGGTAGAAAAGAAAATCCCTGGGAGCCCCACAGAATAGCTTTTTCCAGTCCAGAACTCAATTTTTTACCATTGTCCTCTGTTCCAGTCACTCAGCCAAGTTCATATCCGTGGGTTTCAACATTATTGTAAAAGCTATTAAATAAAACTTCATCAGATGCTTTTTGGATTATCAATTTGTAGATCTTTACAGCATTTCACTCAGCATCCCTTTCTATTACCTCATTAAACAATTGAAACAAGTTAGTTAGGTGCAACTTTTCCTTAACAAATCTAATGAATTTTAGTAATCAGTTGTTCAGATATGGGAATTATGAGAAATAATTTTTAAAATACTCAAAAGCCACATTAAGCATAAATGTCTTTACTTTGATTAGATAGAAAAACCAGTTGAAATACGTTACACTTGTTGGTCATAACTTTAAAAGTCAAACCCAGCAAGCTGTAACCTCCTTTAGATTGTGTTCTTCAACAACTGACCAACTTGTATGTCTGTAATGTCGTCAATCCTTACAATATTTATGCATTTTCTTTCCAAAGTAGGCACAGATGTTTTATGGATGTGGTCATAATATTATCCTAATTAAAATCTTACCTGAGCTGTAACTGTTCAAGGCTATTGATCTGTCTTAGACCATTTCCTAATTTAAACTTGATTGTAGAATCAGATACTCTATCATTCAAAAGACAAACCCTGAAAATTGTGTGAGAAAGACTGCTCTGATCCATGGCGAACTGCATGCTATGAATCTCACTCCAGCCAAAAAAAAACAAACCACATGAGCTGAAAACAAGTAAATTCCACCAATGTATTTTAATGAAAAATGTGAATTTCAGTTCAGATGAGTTTGTTTATTCAATTAAAATAAAACAAAGAACTGCGAATGCTGGAGATCTAAAACATTATGCTTTGATACAAAGTTAGAATCTTTGTGGCAGTTTGTTTTTCTAAGACTGATAAGAAATGAAATTGGACATGAAGAAACCACAGATGACAAGTCTGTTCCAGAAGGCTCATCGAACCCAATCAGGGAGATTAAGCTATTTGAAGTAGTTTGAGGTTAGTTTGAACACATCAAGATGATGACACAAATGGAATCATACAATGGAGAGTGAAAATTGCTCAGCGCTGCCTGCCTTCCGAAATTCACAATGTTGGTGCCATATTTAAAAGTCAACTCCACCTCATTTGCCGCAAGCCAGGAGTGGTCCCTCACTCTCTGGACTATGATGGCCCCAGAGGAAAGAAAAAGTCCTATCTGGATTTGTGAACAGACAATTGCAGGTGCTGCTGGATGAGGCTGTGGAGGACATCAAGTTCCTCACTCTATTTGAGGAGAAGATTATTGAATTAACCAGAGAACAGCACAACCACTCACATGGAGACAGGAACACTTTAATTGGCAACCGACCCAATAAAACCTCATTGTGCTGCATTGCTCTCCTATTATCACCAGCACTAACTCATTCTTAACCTGCACAAGTTTTTACATCTTCCTACATAACCAGTTTCTCCTCTTCCATTAAGAAGGCACTAATGACAGCTAGCAAAGCTCTGCAAAGTGGAGATCCTCAGCTCTGCTTCCACTTCTGAGGAGGAAACCACTGAACTTGAAGAGCATGAACCACTCAGGCTTTTCACCTGCACCCGCCGCTAGCTCAGAGACATTCACCTTGGAAGATAAACTCTCTAGATTAAGTTCAGGAGCCTGCTGAGGTAAGGACCTCACTGGCACATCTCTGCAGCTGATCAAGAAAGAAGAACCCAAGTCTCTGGTACTCAGAGCACTACTAGGGATTAAATGTCTGCTCATTGCCAAACAAACCACATGGTCTTGACATTGATGACATTATCAAAGTGTTTAGGCTGGTACACAAACAGCAGGCTAGTTTGTCAGACGCACTCAGTAAGCTGGATCAAAGGATGGAGAAGTCCCCAATATTATCAGTGCCATGCTAGCTCTGGAATAGCTGTCCATGGAAAGGTTGTTGACTGATATGGAGATCTATGCACAGCACTCTAAGCACAGAGCTGCCTTCCATCATTCTAGCCACTGGTATCTAGCATTAATGCAAGGCAAGAGGGGGAATTAGGGACCACACTCTCACTGATGGTGCTCCTTTATCGCAGGGAAGCAAGGTTTCCCTGGCGCACAGACCAGAGTTCAATCTAATTCTTTTAATGGTTGTGCAGGCCTCTGATTCCATGTACTGTAGTAACCAGCGTTAAGTACAAGCCACTGCTGCAATCAGCATGTCAGCGCCAATCACTGCACATGGAATATTGAAGCAGCCTACGCGTGCTTGCAGTTTGGAAGGAAGATTGCTGCTGGCTCCTCCATCTCCCACTGTCTGATCTTAGAAAGCGTATAGAAGTTTTAGACGAGAAGGGTGAGACTGCATCAGGGCAGGAGATGCTCAGCTAGACTGAGTCCTTTAGGCCTCAAGATTCCCAGGGATGATAACACATGTCTTCCAATCCAGCAAGTCCAAAAACTGAGCAGGCTCCTGTTCCTCCCAGTTGCCAAAGGCAGAATTGAACTTAAATAAGCAGAAGACAGCAAAAGAAAAAAACACTTACTGGAGGGTATATAAATAGCTGGAGTGAATCATAACTTCTCACTTTTGTAAATATATATTCACTTGCACTGTTAAAATATTTGTTGCATTTTTTTGCTGCTGGACTTTGTTAAGTTGTACAAATTTGATAGATAAGCATCCTCTTTAGATATCTCAAGGATGAAAGAAGTTGTAATGGCCAAGCATTGTCCATCTCTCACAAGCCAATGACTCCTTGACTGCAGACAGCATTAGACATCACACCGTGCCATTGAACTGTACCATTGCTGACTGCCGCCAGAGAATTTAATATGAACGCCAAGATCGTCAGCAATGTGCAGGGAATAGGGTATGGCCTGCCCTACACAAACCAACCAGACCTACTCCCAACTAGTCAGTGGGAGTACGGAATCACTAATGATTCTACATATCTGTTGAGGCAAAGTTTCATTCTATCTATCACTTTTCTCGGGAATGTGTTGTGTACTATGGGAAGTTACACTTCAGCACAACTTAGCAGACTAAGCAAACATTGAAAGGGAGACACTTTAGGATTCCTTCCTAAACATACTACCTGTCATAAGAGGCTACACTGTACAGCACTCAATAATCATAAAATAAACAACGAACTGTAGTTTCTGGAAATCTGCAACAACAGCAGAAATCGCTGGGGAAACTTAGCAGGTCTGGCAACATCTATGGATAAAAAGCAGAGTTAACATTTTTAGTCCAGTGACTCTTCTTCAGAACCTAAACTCAAATATCATAAACTGACTGAAGACTTAAAATCCACTTTACCTTCATGCCATATAATGTTAGTGTCCTCTCTTGCTGACTGCTGACCTGTAAAGTGCAAATACTTGAAAGAGGGATCATCCAAAGGTAAAAAGCATACATTCATATGGTTAAGAAAATAATTATCTCCTCGTTAGCAATGGGAGGGCAGTGCAATGAAATTCACTGTGTTGGTTGTCTGTAGAAGTATCCACATCCCCACAAGAGTCACCTCTCTTTGGCCTACTCGAGCATCTTCTGCCCTGTTGAGGCCTTTGTCCTCCATCCCACTGCCATCTTCACCCTTTGTCTTTTGGGCTGAGAATTCTCTCTCTGATGTTAACTCAGAAACCTTCCTGGCAAGTTTTGTTTTTCAAAGGGTTAGTTAGAGTTTTTATTTTTAAAAAACTAGTTTAGCCTTTTATATAAAATGTATCTTAAAATTAGACAACTGTGGCATGAGAAAAATTCTTCCAATATTTAGTAGCATCTGACGAGAGAAAGCAAAATTAGCATTCCATATTCAGTGACTCTTCTGAAGAAGCACTGAACCTGAAACATTAACTCTGCTTTCTTTCCTCAGATACTGTCAGACCTGCTGAACCTGTCCAGCAATTTCTGCTTTTGTTTCTGATTTCCAGCATCTGCAGTTATTTTTTTCTTTTAGTATTGATTGGAATGATTTCAATTCCGTTTCAGCCTGCACCCTGTGTTTCCTGAAGTGATGAGATTAATTGAACGTTGTTCCTTGTCTTGCCTGTTTGCAGCTGGTCCTCTACTGAATGATACCAAAGTTGTTAAGAACATTGCAGCATCCTCCATCATTTCATTATACTTCAGAGATCTGGGGACACAGATAAGCTGGATTACGGTAAGACACAATAGCATCACAATAGTCAGAACCACGAAAGGAGAACCTAGAACATCTTCCCGTACTGAAAATGCCAACTGGTACATGTTATGTTTGCTTTTCTAAGTGCGATGTTTCCCTTCCACCTAGCCTCGTTGCATGATGGTCAGGTAATATTTTTGAATTACGTGCTCCAGAAATCCAGCAAGAAATAGCCACTCTTATCTGAAATGTATACATTCTACATTCTTCTAACTGACATAATCATATGACATGGAGTGGTAAACCAATAATGCGAAATTTTTTTATTTGAATCTAAGATTATGCATAAAATTAATTGAGAGACTGCATGTAGACATGTCTGACCACTGTTGTTTTAGCCTTAGTTCAAGACATGGGGTTATGTATCACATCGTGTCTAGAGGTGAATAAATTTATTTTTTTATTCATTCATGGGATAAGTGTGTTGCTGGCTATCCCATCCACCATTGCCCAGAGGTTGCTATAGGTTTGTTTTGTACATTAGACCAGCTAAGGATGGTAGTTTTCTTCCTTAAAGGACATTAATGAACCAGATGAGCTTTTCCCCAACATTTAGCAATGGTTACTTTTAGACTCTTAATTTCATATTTTTAGTGAATTCAAATTCTATCATCTGCCGTGGCAGGATTCAAACCTGGGTCCCGAGAGCATTATCTGGATTAACAGTCCAGTGATAATGCATTAGGCCATCACTTCACCTTCATGGTTGACAGAACTGTACGATATGCAACACATGCATCCTATCATAATATAAACATACAAACATGTCAATGGGAAAGGGTCAGCTATCCCATTTAGCCTGATCTATATAACTATAGTGTATTCTGCATCAGGTTGGGAGACCATTCACCATGAGGTTCCATGCATTGTCTGGGAAGGGGTGAAAAGCTAAATCAAAGTTCTCTGGCCTGTCAGGGGAAATAAAACTTTGTAAGTTACTTTAGAAACAATCAAAATTAATTCATGACAGAAAAAATAAATTAATTGGCATTCACCTTTTGTACACTGTAATCTCCATACCTGCCAGTATCAAGTGTAGTATTTTTCTGAAAGGTACAAAGGAATTGTTAGATGAATTATGATTGAAACATTGAAATACTAAGCTGAGTGTTCAGTGAAAATCATCAGGGAATAAAAGTTCAGCCTGTCCTTCTTTGTATGTTGATGCCCATCAAACCTTCCCATATAAGGTACTCTTGTGTAATAAAACAGGCTGAGTATATAATAAGCCTCATTCATCATTTAGGACTTTTGTCACACCTCTTCTTCAACAAGAATATTTGTATTTCTTTTCATGGCAATACATTTCACCATGCAACATGCTGCAACTCATTTCAAGTTATTGTTCTAGCAGCATCAAATAATGCCAAATGCTGGAAACATTGGAGGTGAATTTTCAGGGTTAATCTTCAGTTTCTCCAGTAATAAGCACCAGCTATGAAAACTCCAGAAAAATTACAGAAATTCTATCTAATCCTTAAACACTATATTGTAAGGTTTCTGCTATATCTCTGATGAATTTGCAGTGGATGAGAGAGGAAAGTCCCTAATGTCTCAGGAGACTAGTTATTCACATTGTTATATTGCATTCTCGTGACACTATGTAGGTCTATGGCTGTGGCCTCTATGAGTTCTACAGAAATATAATCAATATATCTGCAACAGTTAATTCTTATTTCCCAGAACTAATGTTGTGTTCTGTCTTCAAGTGAATGTGTGATGAACACCACCTGAAAAGCAAACATTGCTTTGGTCAGGTTTGGGAAATATATATAGGTTTCCCAGATTCAGATTGCAGAATCCAAACTGTGCATCAGTGTTTCTTTTTTGTACAGGATACACTTGGGCAATTTTCCATCTTGGCAGGTAGATGCCAGTGTTGTAACTGTACAGGAAAGTCTCAGGTAATGGGGCAGAGCTAATTTTGGAGCAGAAGTCTTTCAGAATTACTGCTGGAATGTTATCAGGGTACACAGATTTGCAAAATCCATTGTCTTTAGCTCTTCCATGATATCATGTGGAGTGAATCAAATTGGCTCAAGACTGGTATCTTAATGCTGAGAATCTCAGGAGGATGCTAAAATGGATCATTCACTCAATACTTCTAGTTGAAGATTCTTGAAAATGCACTGTGAGATCCCCCATCATTGAGCATGGTGAAATGTGTTAGATCATCCTCCAGTGAGTTATTTAACTATATTTCACCATTGGCTGTGTCAATGCTGCAGAGATTAGTGTAATGGCGTTGCTGTGACTGTCACATGCTGCTTTTGCTGCTGGGTAACTCTGTGTTATAGCTTCATCACGTTGACACTTGACTTTTAGGTCTGCTTAGTACCATGCCTGGCATGCAGCCTGGCATTCTCCCGAGAACCAGGATTGTTTCCCTGGCCAAGCATTAATGGTAAAGTGGGCCTGAAGTTACAGTTTGCAGTTGAGTACAATTCTGCTGCTGCTGGTAACCTCCAGGTGGATGTCCATTCTTGAGTTGCTACATTGTTTTTGAAATCTGTTCCATTCAGCGTAACATGATTGAGGGTATCCTCAATGCAAAGGTGGAATTTTGTCTCCACAAGAATTGTGCAGTAGTCAGGCCTATTGATACTGTAAGACAGATTAGTGACATTAACATTTTATCTTCTTGCTGGTTCTGTCATCACCCACCACAAGTGCATTCATTTCCCTTAATATTCATCAGCTTGGTCAGTAGTGGTGCAATCAAATCACTCCTAATGATTGATACTAAAGTTCCCAACATAGTGTACATTCTGTGCCCTTGTCTCCGTAACTGCATCATCCAACATGTAGAAATAATGATTTATCAACTGAATGGGAGTAATAGATGGTAATCAGCAAGTGGTCTCCTTGCCCAGGTTTGACCTGATGCCATGTAATGTCATGGCGCTGAAGACTCAATACAGAATACGCACAAGGCAACTTTCTCCTGACTGTATGCAACCGTGCCATCTTCTGTTCTATCCTGCTGGCAAAACAGGACCTCCCCAGGGAGGGTAGTGGTGCTACTTTGTTGTAAAGTATGATTCCATTCTGTGTCAGCCTGTTGCTTGAGGAGTCTGTGGATCAGCTCTCCCAATTTCACCACAAAGCCCCCCATGTTAGGTCTTCAGAGTTTTGACAGTTCTCTGTGTGCCATTACCATTTCCAATACCTCGCTTCATACTGTTTGACCTCTCCAATTTCATTCCTTTCATTTGCCTTTGTAGCAGTTTGATGCAACTGAATGACTCACTAGACAATTTCAGAGGGCAGTTATGAGTCAACCTCATTACTAATGAATTGGAGTCACATATAGGCCAGACTGGATAAGGATGGCAGATTTTCTTCTTCCTTAAAGAGCATTAGTGTACAAAATGGGCTTTTATGATAAACATTTCATGGTCAACATTAGACTAGCCTTTCTTCAATTCCAGTTTTTTTTAAAATTCAAATTCCATCATCTGCCATGATTGAGTTCAAATCCATATCCCTAAAAATTAGCCAGTGTATATTCCAGTGACAATACCGTTACATCACCACGTATCCATATTACTTAGTAGATAGAATTCTGAAGCTTCATATAGTCTTTTGATGATGATTATATATGATTTGAATGGTAAACATGTAATTATTTTCATTGTTAATGCAATGAAGAGGCACGTTCTGCTATAGTTCAAATGCTAATGTGATTGCAGTGAATATTTTAGGCAGGCTACGTTTGGAGTATTGTGTGCAGTTCTGGTCATCACACAAGAGGAAGGATGTGAAGGCTTGGAAAGGGTGCAAAAGAGGTTCACCAGGTTGTTGCCTGGATTGGATTGCTTTAGCTACAATGAGAAGTTAGATTATCTTTGCTAGTGCGCCAAAGGCTGAGGGCAACCTGATAGAAGTAGGCAAAATTATGAGAGGCATGCATAGGGTGGATAGTCAGAGCCCTTTCCCATGGTAGAAATGTTAAATACTAAGGGGCATAAGTTTAAGGTGAGAGGGGAAAGTTTAAAGGAAGCAAGTTTTTTCATTAGGCTGTGGGTGGTAGTTGCCTGGAATGCACTGCCAGGGGAGGTGGTAGAAGCAGATACAACAGCAATATTTAAGAGGCAGTCAGAGAGACACATGAATAGGCAGGGCATATAGAGACAATGTGCAGGCAGATGGGATTAGTTGAGAATGGCATCATGGTCAACACAGACACGGTGGGCCAAAGGGCCTGTTCTGTGCTGTACTGTTCTATGTTCTTATATGGTCTTGTGTTTGGGCAGTATTGTGTGACTGGTGCATTGAGCTTTGCCACTCCAGCTAGTGATTGATGCTGCAAATGAACGTGATTTATGCTGACAAGTAGCAGAATGGGCCATCTGTCATCTCAGTGATTCATCAGTAAACATTATACTGCCTGATTCATGTGATGCCTTCATTTGGTACATATAAACAACCAGTGGCAAAGAGGTTGAGAGCAGAGTGCAGTAGGAATGTTGGTGTGTTGTTGTTTGTTGCTGACAGGAACTCACGAGATCTTACATATTGTTCTTCACCCAAAACAGGAAGGTGTCATATCATCCAGAGTCCTAAAGTCTACTTCTTACAGTGAAAGCCCTTCAGGGCCATTGTCTGCTGTGGTTATTGTTTCTGCTCCTCTGAACTATTCAGCATTGATGGACTTAATATGACATGCATGCCATTTTATCAAAAAAACTTGACCTTTTGGCAATGTTTCTTGTTCTTCTGGAAACCAGAGCTCTCTCAGATCCCTCCAGGGATGCTACATCTGTCTTGTTTTATAGAACTAAACAAAATGTAGGGATTAAATCCTGATTAACATCACATTCAAGCTGATAATAATAAAATTAAAATGTTGATCAAAGATAAGCATACATTACAAATTAATATTCTAGGTTCAGGAGTAGGAACCAAAAGATTATAGCTGAAATTCCCTAAGTCGCAATGCCAGAATTATGCCTTAATAGCATCTAATTGTCCCCTCCAGTTTTAAGCTTCATGACAGAATTGATTGTCTGTAGAAAGGTATCTCAATGACATGTGTTCGTCAGGTGCTCACCCCACCATAGTCACTCGTATGGTACCCAGCAAGTTATTATCCAACAATCATTTCGTCCGTATTCAACATTCACCTGCTACTCCCATGCCCCTTTGCCCCAAAATCAGCACTCACCATGTCCTATGTTTAGTGCTTACTTGTGTCATGTACAGCTCGCACATGCACCATAGGCATTATAACAGCAGGTATGGCATATCATCATGAGTAAGGAGGATATCTTTCTTAGTTACCCACATTTCCATCAACTAGAAGATAGGGGACAATGTGATGAATCTTCTTCTTAGCAAAATTTAAGTCTTTATGGATCTAGTCCTCATGTGAGGCTTGGATCTCATAGCGAAGCTGTGTGCATCCTGAAACACATGGCATTCTGGCCATTGGTAAAGTTTCAGTTTCCATTCAAAGTGCAAGATTAGAAACTCTAACCTTTGGGAATCTTTGTTCAATTATTGCCATGAGGTGTCCTAATATTATTATAATAACTGTTGCTGCCAACAATTATTGAGCATCATATTATATTAATTATCAGTTAGCTAAAGAATTACTGGTAGACAGATAGAACAAGGTATCGTTGGAGGTTTCAATATTTCTTTTACTTTTAATAACTATAATCAACAGATAATTGATGAGACAGCTCATATCATCCACTTATCTTCTAACTCCTTTCTACCTAAGTATGACCTCTTAATGGGGAAAGCCTCGAAATTGTTTATAACAAGACATTTCTCTAAATAGGATCATTTCTGATGGAGCACATTATACTAAGAATTCTTAATCAGTAAAGAAAGCGCAACCATAGACCCAGGGCTTCCATGTTATAAAGAGGATAACGAAGATTCAGTAAAGAATGTAACATATAAATCAAAGGGGATTTTAAGATTGTATGCAATTTGCTGAAACTATAGCAGGGATATCCATCCAGTTTTGGGAACCCCACTTTTATGTGGGCAACTTAGAATCTACTTGCGCACTTTGGGAGCAGAAATATAGAAAGACAATGTACAATTATTCTGCAAAGTGTAAATTATAGAGAAACCTTGGTGTCTATGTACACAAAGCCTAAGGGTGCTACTTTCAGATAAGTGGCAGGGTAAAAGTTGCTTTAAAAAACACATTTGGACTACTTGTAGAAATAATGCAGAAACATCATCAATCTTTGGTTAGGACTCAGCTGGAGAATTGTGGATAATTCCAGGCAGATATAAAGGCCTTTGAAAGGTGCAATTGAGTTTCACAGACCACTGCCAATATTTTACCAGAGGTGGGGAACACTATCTACCCAGAAACAAAATCATCTAAGTTATGCTTCTTCTTCTATGAAGCTGTAAACGCTGTCATAGATCTAAATCAGATCCCTTCACTGATTAATCTCCAGATAAATCCACGTTGGCCAGTAAGATGACAACCCATGCTCCAGTTCTCCAGAACTAGGTGCCTGAAATAAATCAAATCACCTTTGGATAAAGTAAGCATGCAAAAGCAAAAGAGTTCACAGGCTGGTTGGTTCGCAAGCTGCCTCTTGGGCACACCAAGTGGAAAATAATTGTGAACCACATAATTTAAGGAGTAACTAAAAAGCATTGCGTTGAATCAGTCCAGCTCACAGTTCAGGTTCACTTTTGCCTGCCTAGTAAGGGAATGTTTGATGCAATTAATTTTTTCTAAGCAGATATTTTCTGAAATTTCACCAATAAAGCTGAAATACATTACCACTCCTTTCAGGTGTTTCTAACGGAATACACTGGGTGTCTATTAATCTATCTGCTGTTCTATTTTCGCATACTAAATCTGTATGAAGCCGAGGACATAAACCATTCCAGCCGCCACCTGGTAGTGCAGTAAGTAACTTCTTATTTTGTCTTTTATCACATAGAGGTTTCTGATATGCTTCTTTTTCACAATTCAACCTTTGATTCAATTAATCATTTTGTGAAGTCTATGGGCCTGATTAATCTTCTATGTCTCACTCGAAAATTACTCATTTCATCAGCAGAGAGAATTGTGTGCATGTTTTCTTGGAAAGTCCATTTGTACATGGTCTGGTGTATGTTCTGATGTAGTTGTAGTTCAAAAGTGCAAAGCAGCCAAAGACATTAAACTTTAAAACATTTTAATGCAGAAGCAACATAGCTTCTATATGTTGTATAGGACGTTTAGTGCCTGAAAGGGTTAATTGACATCTCAAGATAAGGTCCACCCTCAGGAGTATTCCAAGGAAGAGCTAACCAGTTCCAGGCTTGAGGTTCAGTATGAGTCCTAAGTTTAGTACTAAGTGCTACGTAGCCAAACAGTAATGTGCACTTAAATCTAGTCTTAATTCTTAAGTCTAACATGATGCCTCACAAGAGGGTCTCATATAACTCAGGTGTAACCTTACTTAGAGTCATATAGTCACAGAGATGTACACAACATGGAAACAGACCTTTTAATCCAACTCGTCCATGCCAATCAGGTATCCTAAACTAATCTAATTCCATTTGCCAGCATTTGATCCATATCCCTCTAAACCGTTCCTATTCATATATCCATCCATATGCCTTTTAAATGGTTTAATTGTACCGGCCTCCACCACTTCTTCTGGCAGCTCATTCCATCGATGCACCATTCTCTGCGTGATAAAGTTGCACCTTTCACCTTAAACCTATACCCTCTAGCTTTGGATTCCTCTACACTGGGGAAAAGATCTTGGCTGTTCACACTATCCATACCCCTCATGATTTTATAAACTTCTATAAGGTCACCCCTCAGCCTCCAATGCTGCAGGGAAAATAGACCCAACATATTCAGCCTCTCCCGATAGCTCAAACCCTCCCAGCCTGGCAAAAACCTTGTAAATCTCTTCTGCACCCTTTCAAGTTTCGCAACTTCTTTCTTGTAGCAGGGAGACCAGAACTGAATGCAGTATTCCAAAAGTGGCCTAACCAATGTCCCATACAGCCACAACATAACCTCCCAACTCCTACACTCAATGCATTGACCAATAAAGGCAAGCGTACCAAATGTCTTCTTCACTATCTTGTCTACCTGGGACTCCACTTTCATGGCACTATGAATGTGCACTTCAAGGTCTCTTTGTTTGGTAACCCTCCCCAGGATCTTACCATTAAGTATATACACCCCGCCCTGATTTACCCTACCAAAATGTAGCACCTCACATTAATCTAAAATAAACTCTATTTGCCACTCCTTGGCCCGTCAGCCCATCTTACTTACTAGTAAATACTAGGTAATAAACTTATTCTTTTCTGAGACAGCGTTTCTCTTCCACAGAAGATTTTGTGTGGATATTCTTCTCCATTTGGTATCAATAACTCAGATGAATTTCGAGAAGAAGGATTGGTGACAGTGAATCTATGCACAGCATCTTAAATGCTATCAGTAAACATGGCCATACAATAGGTTGCTGTCAATTTGGAAATTTCAATTCAAGCTCTTGGGAGATGGAAGAGAATTATTCCCTCAACTGCTTTGCCTTTTATCAACAAAAGGCATTACCCATCCTAATGTTTGCTGCCTCTTACAAGAAAAATGAGCAAGCACAGATGACCTGGTGTCATGACAGGGCAAGCATCTCACCAGTTGTGACTTTCACAGGAAATCCCCCAAGGCTTCATAGAAGATGTAAGGATTCATGCCTCAGCACACAGCTCTGTGCTTGGAAAAGATTCAGTGCCAAAAAGATCAGGCAATGATTTTTTAAAATGTATTCATTGCTTGTTAGGCCAGCATTTAATGCATTTTTTTAAAAATAGCAACGAGTTCCATGTTCATAACATAGCAACAGAGTGAAGGCGAAGATCTTTGCACGATATGCTGTGATAATTACAGTCAATCACAATTTTTGAGTCCAGAGCTCCAATGAAATGTCCTTGAAGTGCCTGTGCTGTCTACAGACACAGGTAGAAATTCACAATATGCTTTCAGGTACTGATGGTGGAACTGGAACTGGGCACACTTCTGCTTGTGTGGTAGTACCCAGCACACACAATTCAAATTTACTGGGGTGTCAGAGGATGCAGGAGCCAGTTACAATCATGCAGTGGGATATTTATTCATTTATGAAACCCACTGTTAGTTGACAATGTAGTAGGCATGAAAAGTTTATAAAGGAACATCCTGGGCAAATGGGAAAGCTCTGCAGCAAGGCAGAACTTTCCTGTCCAGCTCTATTTGATCAGTACTTCTTTTTTCATTTCTAGTTACAAGACTTTATCACCCTCAAATCTTTCCTGTCTTCACTGTCTTCCACTTATGGCTTTGAGTTGTGACCTCCCTCATATCTGCACAAGTGCAATTTATGTGTGAAACTGGACAGACCTCAGTGGCCTTGTTGATTAAGCATTGTTTGAAAAAAATCATCAAATCATGGAAAACCAAACATGGTTTGTTAGTTATCAATCAGCTGGTCAAATTTTTCAACAATTTGGGATCAGACCTATTGATTTTGCTTTTATGTCAAAAATCCCTGTGCTTAATAGCTGAAATTTTCTCTTCATACTGAAGCCACAATTCCAACAGTTCGATTTGTCAGCAATGAGCCCAGTACATCAGCTATGCATGTCTCATGTTGTTGAAAAATCATGATCTCCAGCCAAAGTTGCTCATTGATAGCATAAACTCAGAAACAAACCTCAATGCATTCTTTCTGAGCAGACAGATGCTCAACATGGCTGACAGTACTTCCAACCAGGAATTCCTGCCAAAAGCATCGGACTTTCATTTTTCACCTTCTATTCCAACTTGGTTGGAAACTTTGGTGAAGACAATTTGAAGACATTTTGACCTATAAATTAGAATTTGATGCTTCCATCTTATGATCATAACTAGGTATAACACTGATCTGTTCCAGTCATCATCCTGTGCCTCAAAACAAACTTATTTCACTTTTGGGTTGAGTATTTTCAAACATCACAAACTAGATTCTGACAAATTACTAACCCTTCAAGTTTTGATAAAATAAAATCAATCTCCAATCCTTGCAAATAGATTTTATGTGAATCTCTACAAACAGAATTCTTGTATTTGTGTACTGATTTTTAATGAAAAAATTGGGAGTGCTGCGCACGAGAAGTGAATTAGCACCAGTAGGGGCCAAAAAAATAGCTTTGGGATATTAATCATGTTTTCATTGATGATTTGCATTATGGGATTGAATCCTATGTCTCAGATTTCCTGCCTTGAGCACTCTTTGGCATTTAGGCCCAGCATATAGTTTGGATGCCAGAAGTCGGTAGATACCATAAAACAACATAACCGGCAAGAGCTAATTGTGAAATTTCAGCAAGACAGAAGAGGCAGAATGTCACTCTAAGAAAAGCTGATAAATAAAGATCTGAATGAGAATTGATCAGAGATAAGATACATTGACAACAAACACAGAAATTGCTGGAAAGCTCAGCAGGTCTGGCAGCATCTGTCAAGAGAAATCAGGGTTAACGTTTCAGGTCCTGTGACCCTTCCTCAGAACTGATGGTAGCTAGAAACTGATCAAAAGTCACTGCTGGAACACCAATTGCGTATTGAGTGAATTGTACACTTTCATGTCTTTGTAGTTTAAATAGTGTAAGGATTCACAAGTTGATTAGCAGTCTGACAGCCTATGAAGTAAACTATCATTCCATGAACAACTATTATTTTATCAGCTCATTGGAGTAATAAACTATATATAATGGAAAGTCTTCTGGACTGTCACAGCCAATGGGATCGAGTTCCCACACGTGTCAGCTACCCGGGTCCCCATTTGACACCAGCCCACGAATTGGATGGTGCAGAGTCAGATTTTAGCACTGCAGTGCCTGTCAGAGTCAGGACTACAATGATTAAGCCACAGGCTGGATTTCACTTCAGAGAATGACTGCTTGTTAGACAGATGTGTGTGTTATGAACTGTGCTAATGAGCAGGTTAGAAATTGGATGATCAGAGTTTTCCAGTGTTTCACTGGGATCCTTTTATGACAGATAAAGATCTCTGCTTTAGCTGGGGAGATTATATTGCCATCTGTGTTCCTCATGACTAATGCCTTTGGCTCCAAAGGAGTTTAAGATTCTGCAGAATTTGTTAGCCTGCCAACAAAAAGCAATTTCTGGAATCAAATATACCACCTAAATTCCAATATAGTAAATAGAAACCCAAATATCAATAATAACTCAAACAACAAGAAATGGACACTTAGTCCTAATCAATAGCAACATGCAAAAAATCTTGACAAACGTATAGCTTTCCAAATTACTTCTCTATTTTTTTCTTCCTCCACCTTGCCTTTAAGCTTAGCTTGCATTTGCCACTCCCTTCATTACATCAAGCAAATCCTTGAAACTCTGTTTGTGCACAGCTTTACTAATGGAAACACAGCTCTGAAGAAGATGCTGAAGGTAAGCATTAGCATAGCTCAGTACTCAGCCACTGGCAAAACTTATTTCCTATATTGCTCCTTCATTTTCCCCACCATAATGGTTTTATAGAGCAGTCACAAATGTTTTCTAACATTATTCATTTCTTCAATGTTTTAGCTCGTAGACTGGATTAAAATCCAATGGTATCATGAAGTAGTTTCAATAAATCTTTACCTGAATGGTATGTGGTGGAGCTTTAACTTTTGTTTTTCAGAAACCTGTTACAATGTCATGAAGGACAGCACTGATGCTGAACAATGGATAATACAGATCTTAGACTGGCATGTAATCTGTTTTTTATTTCCCATAAGATTTATCTCATTTATTCTCAAAAGAAATGAGAGATGTATTGCCTCGCATAGCCATTTTGTTTTATTACATATATATGTTAGTTTATTTTAATAAAGAATAGCAACCAGTTTAAAGCCCATTTTATGTTATAAAAGTCTGGCATATTTATAATCCAAATGGCAGTCATAAGGTGTAATATATATCACAAATAGTTCAGGTTTGCAGGTTTAACTGCATTTATGCTAATTCAGTAAAAATAAAGCAATAAATATGGGCGAGAGACAATATGATCTGTAATATAATGTCGCTGTAGAGATGAGAGCTAGAATCGATAAGAAGCCATCAAACATTAACCTATTGCATAACCAGTTAAAATCCTTAATATATCTCCAAATTTCAGAATGATTGGAATATAGAATTTAGGAAAAAAATCATGTAAGTTTTTGACACCAAATATTACACTATTGTTCCTTTATTTGATATTTCACAATATACTATTTTAGAAAGTATACACAATGAAACAGGTGAATAAAATCTGTTTAATTCAGAAGAGGGTTTATTGGTCAATAGTAGAAGGATTTTAACTTGGGGAGGGTTTAACAAATGCTAGTCTCAGAGGAGTCAGTGCATTCAGGAGCGTGAAAAAGCACAGGACCAGAAGTAGGCCATTCAGCCTTTTAAATTCAGGTGCCTGTCGGGAATTTTTGTTTAATTAATCTACCTTCAACCGATTTTCCGGGGAACGATTTGCCAAACTTTCACACTTTATGTCCAGATGTGCTTTCTGACATCACACTCTATCTTTAAGGTTATGCCAGCTTGTTCTAGCTTCCCCTTACACAGTAAATAGTTTCTCCCTATCTACCTTAAAGATCCTTTAATCATCTTTAATCCCTCAATTAAATAGCTTTTTCACCTTATATAACTGAAATGTTGGCAGGATTAGAAATCTCGTGTATGTAACCAGAACTGATAAGTTAACCTGTTGAGTCCTGGCAAGTCCAGTATATAATTTATGAGGCGCGTGTCCAGAACATATTGGTGTACTTCAGTTGTACCCTAACCAGAGCTTTGTATAGCTATGGCAAGCCTTAAGTTGTGTGTGATACAATACATATGAGCTGGGTACTAAACATAATGTGTGCATATATCTTGGGGTGACATTCACAGTTACACTGCAGTTAATTAGTTGAATAAAGCATTTTGGCCCAAACCTTCAACAATTCACACTGTTGGATTCCCATTCTGTTCCTACTTATTTTATGCTGGGAGTGAGCTCCCATATTTCTGACCTGAACTTCCGATTGGAGAATATACCTGAAATCCAACTGTTCCCTCTTAATGCAGGAGTTGGTGGAATTCAAACCATGCCTCTTTTATATAGTAGTTCTTGTATTCTGTTAAGAGTTTGCATGTCCCAAACCTTGTGTGAATTGGATTATTTTCCACCTCTGTTCAACAGCTAAAATATTTTCAAAAGTCTTCAAACAAAAGAATGTACAAATTAGGCGCAAGGCTGGGCCACTTGATCCTTTTAGCCCACGCTGCCATTCTGTAGAATCATGGCTGATCTGATTCTTCTACATTCCTATCCACTCCAATAACCTTTCACCCCCTTGCTCATCCAGAAGCTAACCACTTTGTCTTAAATGAAAGATTCTGCTTCCACTGCCTTTTGAGGAAGAGAGTTCTAAAAACACGATGGAGAAAGAAAAAGAAAATTCCTCGTTTCTCTTTTAAATGGGCAAACTATTATTTTGAAACAGTGAACACTTGTTCACAATCCACCTACAATGGCAATATCGCTTTACATCTACCCCATCAAGACCCCTCAGGATTTTATATGTTTCAATTCAGTCACCTCTTAGTCTTATAAACACCAGCGGATACAAACGCGGTCTGTCCAAACTTCCCTCATAAGACAACTGGACCATTCCAATATCAGTCTGCTAACTTTCTCTGAAATGCATCTGATGCATTTAGATTTATTGTCACATGTCTGTAAAAATAGAGTGGAAAGTGTTTGTTCATGTACAAAATGCAAAGAGTTGACATGCTCCGGCGGTATCTTGCAACACTGAGTATAAGGCAAGATTTGATTGCAATAGAGTTCAACTTTCCCTCATCATCTTGTTACTCTCTGCCACTCCTCCTTTGCTGCTTAACATTGGCCGCAGTCTCTGTCACGGGCTGTGGGCTTTCGGTTGTGGGCCTGCCTTGGCTCTCACTGACTGCCAGCTTCGAGCTGGGGTCAACGAACCCGGTACCATCCCTCCTGGACCTCCTCTGATGCTCCTCCAGGCACAGCTGCTGGTCGTTGGCCTCCTCCACGCCTGGCGCTGAAGCCTCTGCGACATTAGCACCAGAGCCATAGCCGGCCATGGATCTGGGGCTGCGTGGGGGTCCGGTCCCAACCGACACCATTCCCCCTCCCCTCTGTGGGAAAAAACAAAGGAAGTGAGGAAACCAATTGCCTTTTGCTACCACCGCTGATCGCTGGGAGGAGCTGCCTCTGTGGCCGCTGTCGCTGTACATGTTTGGGAGGCTGGACCCCCTCTCACCCTGCTGAAGACGCCACAAAAGACTTTTAAAGATAAATAAGGAGAAAAGAAAAACAGCAAAAGTAAAGAGAAAAAGAAACAACGAAAGCAGACAGAAGCGGATAAGACCCGGGCCAGGAGCCCAAATGTTGCACTACTACCCCATTGCCACCTCGAACATCCATCCTTGAATAAGGAGCCTAATATTGTACACAGTGTTCCAGATGTGGTCTCACGAATGAGCTATGATGTTTACAGTTATTTCCTTATGAACATATGATATGGGAACTGGAGATGGACCATTTGGGCTCCCAAGCCTTCTCTTCCATTGAAGACTGACTGTGACCCACATCTCTAATTTGACCAGGCAGGACAACCTGCCCAGAGTTTACGTTGCTAAAAATTAATGCCTTCGTGTAGGAAACCACATGAGATACCAGCATTCTTCATAAGATTTCAATATTTGTGCTCAGCATGTAGTTTCCATAAAAAGTGATGCACCTAACAATAGATGTTATTTAAAGAGTAAGGAAGACTCTAACAAAGATATAATTTATTGACTGCATTTTCTATTAACAACTGGCAAACTGAAATATTCATATAGTAAATGATTGACAGTGTTGGTGGTGCAGGTAGTTCTGCTATAACATGTGTTTTGTTAACACAAATTTGCTGTAATGCAATTGATGAATAGTCAACGCTGTTTGGATAATGCGTACTCTCTGCTGTACAGCGATTTTCCATAGTGATTTCGCTATAACATGATTTTCTATAGCAATTTTCTTTAGCAGAATTTTCAATAGCATGAGGCCACACAAGAACACAACTATCGCGTTATACGAGAGCCACCTTTAGAAAGATGACGAGAGCTAAAGAAGAGGTTGGAAAATCTAATTTGTTCTCGGGCTATGTTTTGTTCGAGGCTGATCAACAGAAAAGGGGAAACATTTAAAGAGAAAATCGTACTTACGGCAAACTAACCTTGGTCCTAGCTACATAGAATTATTAAAGTCAAAAGGAGAGAGTGATGCATAAATGTATGAACCAGGTTTCATATCTCTCCTACACTGCTTGAAAGCTATTGAATATTATTATTTTCATGAGTTCTAAGTATTAGTTAGATGTTGTTATATTACCAAATGTAATTTCTTTTGAAAAAAATACCTAAATGGGGATTCTACAAAGAATAATACTGAATTTTAAACTTTTTAAACCATAAACTGATAAGTTAGAACTCCTGATTGAAAGGTCAGAAAATGCAGGAATGAAAGTTTAATTTAATTTTCTCACAAAATGTATTGATCAATAATTTTGTCGTATTGAAACAGTTATTTGAGGGAAGAATGAAAAATGTCTGCTTTCAGAAACCAACTATTTTGCCAATTGAAATTACAATGTTTTTTTCAAAGGACACATTATTTCAATGCAGTTTTAAAACCATAAATACTATTTAAGTTTATTGTTTTCATTTATTTCCAGGGATGTGCCTTTTATTGGGGATTCACCGTGTGGATGGCTTATTATATCAATCATCCTCTATATACACCTCCTAGTAGGTTGAGTTTATTGCATGATTTAGAATTGAGCTGTCAAAAAAAGTTTTCTAAATTTAAGTTTTAGTTTAGACTTTTCAAAACCTATTCAATAAGTAATGCAATGAAAAAAGGGATTTGTTTCTTCTATGTGCCCCTGATGCTTTCAACAGTACTAATTTGATAGTAACTAATGATTAATAAATAAAGGTTGTGATGATAACTTAAAGAGTGACTACCCATTGAAGTAGGAGCAAATTGCTGCAGATGTGATCTCTAGCATTTTTTTCTTTTCAGCACCTATTGACAATCATTGATTAGTTGCAAAGTGCTTTGGGATACCCTATGATGTGAAACATGAGTCTGTTTGCTTTTCTTTCTGTTTTTTCTTCTTGAATGTACTTTGTTTATTGAGTCTTTAAGTCTTGAATTTCATATTTTGAGTACTAGCCTATTCCATCAACTATAGTGAGATAGGTAGCTATGGTTAACTGAATCTACCAGCCATGGAAATATTGTTTGACAGGTTTTGGATAAGGAAATATTATTGTGAGACTAAATCCAGTGGTATAGCATGCCCAGCAGTCCAGAAGTGTGCAGATATTGGATTAGATTTTCTAATGAGTAACAATCCCAGTGAGATTACCTCTTTTTTCCTACATTTTTCCATTAAGAAATAGCTATGCAGTTTGAGCAGGAGATTTTGATCACAGCTCCTTTAGAAATATGGAGCATAGCTTAAATCCAACAGGTTCGCAGTGCGGAATAGTTGGGAGTAGTCAAATCATATCTCTTTTTCATAGTGGTAGTTGATCTTTTTTGTGAATTAAGTGTTCAGCAGCTTAGGCTCAGGAAGTTTGACAGCTCCTGCTAAAGGATAAATGCATATGGTGAGTGTGGTAGAGTTGATAGAGTACCAGCTGGCAAAGATGCTAAGTAAGAGATATAGTGTTCTGTGCTGATTGGGGTGGTTTGAGGGTATCAGGTTTCGTGGGAAGTGGATACAGTATTGAGCCTCGCAACAACAAGGTGTCAGGTCCAATTGCAGTACAGGGTTGTTTGGTCTCAGTGGAAAGTGCAGCAGGTCAGGTCTCAGCAAAAGTGAAGGGTTTCTGTTGCTGGGGGAACAGGAGAATGAATGAATGGATGATTTTATTGTCACATATATCTTGAAGATTTAGTGAAATGTGCTTTGTTGTCACAATCCAAGCCATTTTGAGCTACAAAAAGATTGAAAAGAAATTACTTAAATAACAGTTCATCTTCTGATCATATTGGGTCTCAAACACATCTCCAGGGCTTCTGCAAGGTCTCTAGAAAAAGTTCCAGTCCTCAAGGAGTCCTGTTCCGGAAATGACAATGATGCCGCCATTGCCCCAGGATACACTGGCTCTGCTGCTATCTGACACCACCATCCAGGCTCCAGGCACTGCTGCCACTAAGAGTCTAGGCTTCAGGCCTACTGCCCGCTAGGTATCCCACTCCAAATAACAACTGTCACCCAGAGTCCAGGCCCCGGGGCTAATGTTGCTGGGAGTTTTCGCTCTGGCCACTGTGCTGCCAAGAGTCCAGGCTCAGTTGGGTCCAGGAGAGTGGGGTGTAGGTCGGAGTTCAGCAAATATAAGACATCTTAAGGAGGTGTGTTGGGGATGTGTCTGGTAAGTTAGAAGTCAGGAGTTAGACTAGTTTTTCAGCTTCTAAATGAAATTCCAGTTTTCCTAGCTACCATCAGTTCTGAGAAAGGGTCACCAGACCCAAAATGTTAACTCTGATTTCTCTTCACAGTTGCTGCCGGACCTGCTGAGCTTTTCCAGCAATTTCTGTTTTTGTTCCTGGTTTATAGCATCTGCAGTTCTTTCATGTTTTTTTTCAGCTTTTAACTTTTCCCATGTAACAATTAACCGAAGAGGAACCTTCTGAAATCTGCAGTTAAATAGATACTTTCTTCTACTTTCAGGCAATTCCCTCAGTACACTTTGTTGGGATTCTAGAATGGCCTGACATGTAACTATCTGGTTACCAGGAAATCCAGGCAAATGTAGGGAAGTGGGAAATGTAACTGGACACCAATCACATGACATTTTGTCTAAAATATTTACTCTGATACAATCTGATACAATCAGTGCTATCCAAATAGGAGACATTTAGTATAGCTTCTAAAAGTAAATAGAAAATGATTTAAATATGCTCTTCGGGACAGATCAAGGTTTGGAATGACACAATGGAAGCTGGTGGAATGTCATTTAGGTTCACAGAGTCATACAGCACGGAGACAGACTCTTCGGTCCAACCAGTCCATGCCAACCATAATCTCAAACTGAACTAATACCATCTGCCTGTGCTTGGCGCATATCCCTCCAAATCTTTCTTATTCATGTACTTATCTTTTATATGATATCTTTATATGGTATAAATATCTTTTAAACATTGTAACTGAACCCGCATCCACCTCTTCCTCAGGAGGTTCATTCTACATGCGAACAACCCTCTGTATTAAAAAAATTGCCCCTCATGCCTTTTTTTAGATCTTTCTCCTCTGACCTTAAAAATATTTCCCTAGTGTTGAAATCCTCCATCCTGGGGGGGAAAAAAAATGCCTGCCATTCATCTTATCAAGAACCCGTCATGATTTTATAAACCTTTATGAGGTCACCTCGCAACTTCTACTTCTCCAGTGGAAAAAAGTTTCAGCCAATCCAGCTTCTATTTCATACAATAAAATCTGAAAATTGGAATCCAGCCTCAATATCTGTGTCATGAAACTACCATAAATTATTGTAAAAACCCATCTGGATCTCTACAGTCCTTCACAGGAGGAAGTCTTCTGTCCTTTACTGGGTTCAGTAACCTACTTGAGAGCCACAGCAGTGTGGTAGCTGCTCTCTGAAAAGGCACAACGAATCATTCAGTTTAAGGATAGTGTTGGCCTCACTAGTGATGAAATGTAGGTAGTTCTGCGCTAATGCGTGTTTCGTTAATGTAAATTGATGAATAGTGGATACTGTTTGGATAACACAAACTTTCTACTGTAGAGTATAGCAAATTTCTGGAGCAATTTCCCTATAATGCGATTTTCTGTGGTGAGTTTCTATAGCGTGAAGACACACAAGAACGCAACTATCGTGTTATAGGAGAAATACCTGTAAATAAAGGGAAAGATAAATCAGACATTGTCTGTGGAGAGAAAAAAACAGAGTTTACATTTCAGGTCAATGACATTCCATCAGAATTGAACTAAATAATGAATCTAAGATTTTATGAAAATACAGAGGCAAGAAAAAAGCAAGATTTGGACCTGGTGGTCAGGAGGGAGGAAGGAACAAAAGGGAAAGTCTGTAATGGATTGCAGTTGTCATAGAATGACTACAGTGTGGAAGCAAGTCACTTTGCCTATCGAGTCCACACAGAGTAATTAATTTGCAGAAGTCAGCCTTCAAACTTCATTTTAACATGGTCAAATTCAAAAATGCACACCACAAGCTCATCTAATGTGCTATGCCAGAAGACACAGATTGTATTTATTTAGAAAAAAGTGTCATGCTGGACTACAGGTGTGTTGCTATCATTGCATGTATATTAAGGAAGAAGAATGGAAAATAACAAGGGAGCTTTCAATCAGTTGACAGAGTATCATAGAATCCCTACAGCTTGGAAGCAGTCCATTCAGCCCATCAAGTCTACACCAACCCTTTGAAGAGCATCCCAGCCAGACCCAGCACACTACCCTATTCCTGTAACCCTGCATTTCCCATGGCTAACCCACCTAGGCCACACATCCATGGACACTACGGGCAATTTAGCATGGCCAATCCACCTAAACTGCACATCTTTGGACCATGGGAGGAACCCGCAGCACCCGTAGGAAACCCACGCAGACACAGGGAGAATGCGCAAAATCCACACAATCACCCGAGGGCGGAATCAAACCCGGGTTCCTGGCGCTGTGGGGCAGCAGTGCTAACCACTGAGCCACCGGGAATCAAAAATAGTGACATCTGTCCTATAGGAGAGAAATATCATAAATATTTCAATGAATTGTATGCCTAGATTTCCAAAAGGAAAGCTTTGTTGATTAACCTCATTACATTTCTGAAGAGGCAGCAGAGAGAGGAGTTTAGAGTATTACAGTAGATGTAATTTATCTAGCTATCCAGTGACCTTTGACAAGGTGCCACGTGATAGAAAAATGAATAAGATCATTGCAGGGACATGCAACAGAATAGGTAGCTAGCTGGTTACAAACTGCAAAGCGAAGAGGAGGCTAGACAGTAGCTATTCAAACTGGCAGAAGATGGAAAGTGTGGAGCCACAAGCATCAGTTTAGAAAGTGCTGCTGTTCATAATTTCTAAAAAAGCTTTAGACATTGGAATTGATGGTCAGATGTCCTGGTAAGCGACAGTGCTGGAGATAACAAGGTGTAGAGCTGGATGAACACAGCAGGCCAAGCAGCATCAGAGGAACAGGAAGGCTGACGTTTCGGGCCTAGACCCTTCTTCAGAATTTCTGAATTCCCTCTTCATTTCTGAAGAAGGGTCTAGGCCCGAAAGGTCAGCCTTCCTGCTGCTCTCATGCTGCTTGGCCTGTTGCATTCATCCAGCTCTACACCTGGTTATCTCAGATTCTCCAGCATCTGCAGTTCCTACTATCTCTCGTGCTGGAGATATGTCCATTGACTGTAAAAAAAAATCTAAGACGCTTACTTTTTGCGTCCTTGCAATGCTAAATCATAGCCAACCCCTGGGAACACTCCCAAAGTGGAATATCGCAGAGGTTATTCTCCTTTTGCACAACATCAGCTACCACACTCAGGTTAAGTTTTTAAAGGTCTTAGTGTCTCAGTGAAGTCAGTTTGTGGATGAGTGAGTGGGTCAACGGGTGAAGAAGTCTGTGGGTGGGTGGGTGATTTGGTAAATGCGTGAGTGTGCACGCAGGTGGAGGATCAGCTATGTGCAAGGCTGGGTGAGCAGATGCCTGAATGCATGAGGAGTGTGTGGATAGGTGAGTCTGAAGATGGCGGAG